ATTATATATAGTATTATATAATATAATATAGTATTGTATAGTATAATATAGTATAATACAATATAATATAGTATTATACAGTATAATATAGTATATATTTATATTTTATATATAAACATATAATATATAATAACTTATATATATATGTAAGTGTACTTTTTACTGTAATTTTTATTCGCATTACAAAGGAAGTCGTTGAAACAAATTGTGTTTCCATTCATTTTTCTTAAATAAAAAACTTTCTTTATATAAATATTAAAAAAAGAAGAGTGAGTAGGTATACGAAGCTTTCAAAGAAAATTAAATTACTCTCTCTCTATCTTTCTCTCTCTCTCTCTCTCTCTCTCTCTCTCTCTCTCTCTCTCTTTCAAGTATTTGTATAAATTAGTTTTAGTCTAGTCAGTTCAGTTCATAAACATAATGATGATGAATTCTCTTTTGTAATAATTCACTATAAAAATTATCTAATATATTTTATTATATATTACGAATAAGTTGAATATCTATTTTTTTTCTCTCTCTCTCTCTCTCTCAAACAATTAATTATCTTACATAATTAAAACAATAAAAAAATAATAAAAATATCAAGCGGTTATTTCACTGAATGAGATTGAAAAAGATCAAAGATTAGGTCATTAAATGTGAAATGTCTGATTTTGATGTGAGAATAATACGAGTAATCAGACATTTCATAGTTAATAACCTAATATTTATATAAGGGATGTTCTTTTTTAAAATAAAAAATAAAAAATAAATCGACATATATATATATATATTGAATTATAACCAAAACAATACAAATTTATATTAAATGTATTTAAGTTTAAAATAATAACGCTGTATAAAATGTTTCATAAAAATTTATTTATTTATTTAACAATTTTTTTACTACTTATGGTTAGTTCACTTTCATAATTATGAAATGTAGCAACATATATACATATACATATGTATATATATATATATACGTGTGAAATTTCTACAATGTTTGCTATTACTATTACTGTTACTGTTTCTACTGCTGCTGCTGCTATTTATATGAACGTAAGCGTTATTCTCTCTCATCTCAACGAGTTGATCGATCGCAAGTAGTTGGAAGGGTCCAAGAGAGAGAGAGAGAGAGAGAGAGAGAGAGAGAAATTGAACCGCGCCTTTGTTGGCGGAAGGCCACCCTCTTTTCTCGAGATAAATCGAAAGCGCAACGTTTAATAAAACGACCTCCAAAAATCATCCAACTAAAAATCAATCCTACTACCACCCACAACCTCCTACCCCCAACCTCAAACCCCAATCCCAACCCCTTTCATAATTACGTTAGCATGTTGTATTCCCATTTCTCATGTTTATGTCTGTATACAGATATATTGAAATTAGATCGATTGAGATCGTACGAATATACAGTCTCCAAAAATCATCCCACTAAAAATCAATCTTACTATCATCCCCCATCCTCATTCCCATCCTCATTCCCATCCCCTTTCATAATTACGTTAACATATTGTATTCCCATTTCTCATGTTTATGTCTGTATATGTATATATGTACATATTGAGATTAGATCGATTGGGATCGTACGAATATACAGTCTCCAAAAATCATCCCACTAAAAATCAATCTTACCATCATCCCCCACCCCCATCCCAACCCCCTTTCCTTTCATAATTACGTTGGCATATTGTTTTCCCATTTTTCATGTTTATGTCTGTATACAGATACATTGAAATTAGATCGATCGAGATCGTACGAATATACAGTCTCCAAAAATCATCCCACTAAAAATCAATCTTACTATCACCCCCCACCCTCATCCCCATCCCCTTTCATAATTACGTTAGCATATTGTATTCCCATTTCTCTTGTTTATGTCTGCATACAGATACATTGAAATTAGATCGATCGAGATCGTACGAATATACAGTCTCCAAAAATCATCCCACTAAAAATCAATCTTACTATCACCCCCACCCTTATACCCAGCCCCATTCCT